GTAAAGCCATCTGAGTCTACAATACTTGTTTGGCTGCAATCAAAAGTTGAATTGGTGGAGACTGTTAGTCAGATGTGATCCAAACTCTGCCAGCCTCATTTCCTTCTCTTCCCCCTGCGACTTTAGTAGATTCGACTGCTGATCGATGGCTCGTCATAACCCGTTACGGAGCTCATGAGACATGAAGCTGAAGGTATGACGTGAGCCGACTGCAATTACACATAAAAGCCAGAGATCAGTCCAGAGTGTATCTACTGAGCTTCAGTATCTGATAAAGTTATCCTTGTACATCTGTTTAATGAGCACTCAGCTTCTGTGATCCAAATTTCAGGTTGTCCTTTTCCAAATTTTACTGCATTGAGCTGTGCAAGAACACTTCTAATATATCCATCAACCTGCTGCTTGATCAAGGTGCACAGTTATTAGTTATTAAGATGTTTGGTCATTAGATGATCATTTCAGTGCTTTTCATGCTTCTTGTCTCTTTTTTGTCTCACACACTCTGTTGGTGGTTGATTTATAGGTTTACAAAATGGTTGCTCTTCACCCAGTAGAGTCAGGGCAGACAAAGGAGGGTCAGAAGAGAGTCTGGGCAGGGGAAGGGAGTAAATGCTGGGTGGAAGTTGTGTGAGCAGATAAGAATGGGGAGTACAGGGCTATGAAGGAAGTGTAGTTGTGAAGGACTGGTAATTAAATAGCCGGGAGGCCTTTAGTTCAGGAGATAAGGGAGGAAATGGGGAATGATGAGTGGTCATGGAACAACAGGTTACAGTACACTATGCAAAACTGGGCTGCTTGGTTTGATTTTGACATACTCAAGCTTTTACAGTGTGTGCAATGAAGAAGTCATATGATGTATCATCTCCCACCAACCTCCTATCATAGCCTTCTCTTGACTGCATTCCCAATCAGTCTCCCCAAACCACAGTCTGTTGCATGATGAATAGTAAAAATGTGGATAAAGCTCTCTCCTGGAAGAGATTCACTGTGTTGCACTCAGTTATATAAAGAAAGACGTTGTGAAGAATGAAAAAAAGAGTTTGTGAGAGAAGTTTAAATCCTCATCCTTTGTTGCCTCTGCACACCTGGAAAGTCACCATATGAAGTGGGTGTGATTGTCAGCCAGGCTGTTTGTGACATCAGAAAGCTGAGGAGAAAATGGGGTTTTAGACATTGTAAGACAAGCACTTCCTTTAAAACATACTGAGGCCCTCTGAGGCAGAGATAGAGCATACATGTATCTTTTGGAGTACAAAAGCTTCTCATTGGGAGTACCTCAGACAGATACAGTGAGCCGTGATTGTTTCCCCAACATTTGTACCTTGAGAAATGCAGTTACAGTTACATTATTATTTTCAGTGTGCAGTGGCCAGTTACACAGGCACCTTCTTGCTGATGATTCCCACTCTTGACTTTGACACAGGTTAAATAAAGTAAGCAGAACATGATCCCTCACTGGTATTTGAAGGGGTCTATCCACAAACCCTGCCATCAGGGTCTGACCTTGTGTTAGTGTGTTATTATAGTGTTATTGTTGTAAGTCCACACACAAATATGCACTTAGAAACATCTTTGTCATTATCAACTAAGGAGAAAGGAGACTGGTATTTATCGGTCCCATGTTTAAGCCATGCAGAAAGATACAGAGCAGTGCACATAGTGCATCATGCAAGTGCTTGAGACAAGTACACCACTTTGTAGAAGACACCATTCCCACTCACGTCACTCCTCTCCTCTGTCACTGTATATTTTTACTTCTTCCTCCATGTGAATTGATATAAAACTATTACTTGGACAGAATCATTTGTCTTTGGAAAATTAGCTTGATTAATTTCCTTTTTATGAGCATGATGATTTACAGCTATAACTGTGAATGAGCAAAGGTTGTTATTTCATATCCCTGAGGGGTTTTTTCCACCATAATAATAGGGGACACGAGGGTTTATAACAAAGGAAACAGATGGCAGTTTCTTTCTAGATCTAAATGTGCCAAATTACAGGAAGGTGCAAATTATGAATTCAGACTATGATGTTTTTTTAAAAAACAAAAAAAATCCACATTTAATGATGAAAAGGACTGGGAGTTGTCGTTGTCTTCAGCTAAGCTACATTCACAGAACAAGCCTCCATCAGTTATTGTTGATGGATACACTGGCATGCACGGACATTGTGGCATTCTTCCCCCTAGAATCAGAGATGTTTAAATACAGTTTTTTGACTAAAACCACTGTTCAACTGTTTTGCCATATCTGGTCAGTTTACGTTCACCACTTTGGTCTAAGCTGAAATATCTCATCAGCTACTGGATGCATTGCTGTGAAACTTGATACAAACACTGATGGTGAACCCTAACAACACTGGTAATCCTCTGACTTTCCTCTAGCGCTACAGTTTTTATACATTCGCTGAAATAACATACAAGGTGAATTAGCACAAACAGACATCCATGGCTTCCAGACAATGGATTGTACTTTGGTGATCCTCAAAATGCTATCATGAGGTTGACATGTGTTGCTTTGTCTCAACAGCTATTAGATGAATAAGCATGAAATATGGTACAGGCATTCACTTGTATTAGCTTTTCATCTAGCACCATGATTAGGTCAAAATCTAACCTGCAAAACTGATGATGTCCCTGTTTGTTTAGCAAATGGCATGCTAACGCAGTACATGAAGACACTGGCAGTGGCAAACGTGAGCACATTAGCATTTAGCTCAAAACACAACAGCACCTAAGCCTCACAGAGCAATGTCACTAGCGCGGCTGCTAACCTTTAGTCTTGTTACTGTGTGTATTGTAAGACTGCAGATGCAGTCTGGTACACACTGTTTCATCTGAGTTGTCTTAAAAGCTCTGGCACTTTTGTACTTTTATTTAAGTAACATTTTGAATGCAGGACTTGTAACAGAGTATTTTTACATTGTGGTATTGTTACTTTTACTTAAGTAAAGGATCTGGGTACTTTTTCTACCACTGTAAATGACTATCTGACCCTGTATATTACAGAATTGCCAGATAATGACAAGACAAGATATGGACGGACAGGTGACAAATTAAAGGAAAAACCTGAACAATTGAATGGTTTCTTCCAGGATGACAGTGCCCCCATCCAAGGGTTTGATGAGTATGAAAATTAGATGATTCATATGCCACGACCTTCACAGTCACCAGATCTCAGCCCAGTTGAACACCTCTGGGAGATTGTGGAGCAACATGTCAGGCAGCGTCTCCACCACCATCATCTAAACACCAAATGAGGGAATATCTGTTGGAAGAATGCTGTTCATCCCTCCAGTAGAGTTCAGAGACTTGTAGAATCACTGCCAAGGAGCACTGAAGCTGTTCTGGTGGCACATGATGACCTAACACCTTACTAAGATACTTTATGTTCTCTTTTTAAATGTATCACTCATCTGTATGTTGGTTATAATTGAACCTCTAAATGCCTAATTTGTCCAGTCCTTGAGCTGTTCTCATTTGTGAATGTAGAAACTGACAGTATAGACTGTATAACACTCATATGGAGTCTGAGTTGTAATGACAGGACTGTTGTCTGTCTGTCGTCTGCTCTAAATGCATCAGCTGCAGGGTCAAGATTGAAGCAGACAAAATATACACCTCCTCTTCCATAAAGCCACCCAAAGACAAAGCTCTGACTACTGCACATACAAAACGCACACACACAGGATGTACAGTACGAGTGCATCTAGCCATCAGTTCATCTGAGGCTTTATCTCACACCATCTGCAAAGTGATTTGTCTGTCAGCTTGTTTGAATTGTTGTGTGACATTGTTTAGGCTCCCACGGTTTTATTAATTCCTTTGAGATGCTTGGCTCTAGCTTCATATAACACGGCCCAGAGCATTTCCCTCCGGGGACAAGCATCATCGCTGTGTTTGTTAGTTCTCATAAGAACACTATCAGGTCCTCAAACCTCAGAGGTCATCACTTACTGACTCCAGGAACTCCCAGACCATACAAACACACTAAATTCTCATGGTGTCTTTACCCTCAAATATTTTTCAACCATTTTTAAAAGTATTATTCTGTTTCTATCCCACCAACCTATCCCACCAATTCATACAGCTACTTAAGTAGCTGTATGAATGACAAGTTAATAATCCTTTGGAGTTTGTGTTTTCTATGTCGACATGCTGCAACACTTTTGGTGAAGAGAAGACAGTATTAGGAGATAAAAATGAGATGTTTAATCATATAGCACATATGATTTGGAGAGCGCAGCCATACTTCTGCACTTCTGTCACTGCCAGACTCACTTTTTCCTTCCTTCCTCTCTATCTTCTCTCTTTTCTCACTCTGAGTATCAAAATCAAATTGTCACATGTAGCTTGCAAATTGGGGGCTGTCTGCAGATTCGAATCCTCTCTCAACAGCATTCAAACTTAGCTTGGTCAATTTGAGGGTATTTTTTCAATAAATAGACCTCTGACAGCAGAGTCACACTTTATCTACCTTAAATTATTCTCCTCACTGCTCTGTCCTGTATGTCTTGTGGCCTGTCATGTGTGCTTTGGGTCTTTCACTTGCGTGTAACATTTGCACATATACTGTTTGACCACTAGATGGCTGCAGAGAGTGAGGAGCCTTAAAGGAAAGGGTTTCACTAGATAAAGAAAGTGTATGTCTCCCCCTTGTGATGCAAACATAGGAGTGTCTTATCATAAATGCCTCATTATTGTCATGGTTTGGGTCAAAACCTTTTGATAACATTTGTCCTTGTTTTCAAATCTTATCTTCTTTTCTAATTCCTCTGTTTTCAACAGGTGTGTTTAATATTTTTTTTTACCCCAGGTGTCAACAGTGTTTGCCTAGTTTTTGTTAAAATTACTTTGCTGATATAGAGAAATCAAAATGTAACTGATTCTGATAAATTATACACTGTAAGCCACTGCTCAACACCTGGCAGTTTGTTTGATGAATTTTACCTTCACCCTCAAGTTCATAGACTCTTTGTTTTTACTACCTCCCCAATTTCAGGGTCAACCTGGACCACTTGGTCCTCAGGGTCCACAGGGGCCTCCAGGGAGACCAGGTGATCCAGGCATCCAGGGACCAAAAGGGCACAAAGGTGATCGTGGCCGTGATGGTAACATGGGTCCTAAAGGAAATGTGGTAAAATATCCTTCTAATTTTTTGTCTAAGTATTAAAAATCACGTCAGCCTTGTTTGTCCTCTTGTTTAATGTGTGATTTCTGACACTCCACAGGGAATGACTGGTGTTCCTGGGTTTTCTGGAAATGAT